CTCAGAAAACCATATATCAGAAGTTTGGAGTGCCCCTATTATGGTACTTGAAAGTTCATAATTTGGTTTTGGGAGTCCCCAACAACAGGTTTACATGCATGCAAGGTCAAAAAACACTTTCATTTTCTTATAATATGCATTTAATTTTATGTTATTTCTCAACAACTCTCAAATGATTTGTTCAAAGATTCATCTTTCGAAACCCCTCCTTCACATGAGGATACTCTGCTCTGATTGGTCAGATGACCCAGTCTGTTGTGATTGGTCTAAGTACAGTGCATGTCGGAAATGGAATGCCCATCACCATTACTGGATTACGGCTTATCAATAATACTTCCGGGCTGTGCGATATTGAGAAAAAATGCAATACCTTGTTAAAAAATGTGATATTCGATACGATATTGCTTAAGTGTGAAAAATCGATTTAAATTATATTTTAAAATATTTAAAAATGAAAATATAAACAATTTGTTTCACATTATTTCTTGGAAAAGAAAGAATCACTACAACTTCTGAAAGTGACCAGCAGTGTTTTAGCAGTACATAAAAAGTAATGTCACAAATCAGAAAATGTAATTTTAACATCAATGTGAATGACAAAAAAATTAATGACACTAATTTTATATCATTGTGACTTTGCTTTCCATATACTTTAAGTACTTATTCATATACCACAGCAAAAACTATAGTCTGAGAAAGTTCAAACATGATTAAAGGCAAGTGAAGTCAGTAAAAAAAAAGAAAGAAAAAGGGGGGAAAAAGAACAAATACACAATTTACAAGCATATATAAAATAAACTAGTATTCAGGTACAGAAATTTAATAATTAAGTGTAAAATAACACTGCATTGTGTTCACTGTATGAATTAAATGTAGATTAATCTTTGTTCTAGCTGTTTTGTTGTTTGATTAACATTAGTGACATTCAGCAGCACGTATTTATAGGCTACTGTCCTTTTAAATCCGACTGCACGGATCCAGTATAATGATATACATCAGATTTCTTTCTCATCTGTTTACATTCATTTAAAACATAACTGACTGCGTTTACGAGAATGATCGTCGAGACGGGTACTATTGACAATTCTGTGTATGTGTCTGTTCAAACATGAGGAGGAGGAGATGCGAAAAACGAATCAACTCGGTGTTCGCGTGCTTTGCACGTGTGCGGCAGAATGGAAGATACGCTGTGCGAGATGCGGCTTGTGCGCGTGCTTCAGGTGCGAGTCTGTCAGACAGCCAGACGAGACAGCAAAGAGTTGCTTTCTGCAACTTATTGCATTTAACTCTTTTTAACGTCAAGCCATTCTCTGCTATATGCGTCGAACTAAAACTTTGACCTTTTGATTTAAGTAGCCCATTAAATTTTCGATATATCGTGCAGCCCTACAAGGGGGAAAAGTTGTTTTACACTTATGTAAGGGAACCGGGCCCACAGCTTGGTAGTAAAGACCCAAACAATAATGGTATATGCTTTGCCGAACAAAGACAGAGTACTGATAAAGCACTGCAGTTTGTAAACCAACGTATTGCTCCATCCTTTATCATGACACCAAGTAATAAAAACGACAGACATTTTATATAATCGACACATTTCTAGATAATAGCAGGCCCACAGCTGATTAGCAGAACTATAACACAAGTTTTAGTAATGAGAGACGTACAGCTGCACTGAGTGTATATACACAACACAACACACAAAACATATTTTGCAACTACACGGAAATAGGATTTGAATTACAAACGACTCGTTTCAGCTGTTCAGAGTAATCTCTTTCTTTTGAGAGACAATAACTATTTATGATGCACTTTCAGCTTTACAACTTTGCAGACTGATTACATTCACATACATGTACATTACACACTGCATGAAAAGTACTTTTCAAAAATCCATAATAGGGGCACTTTAAACTGATATGGCTTTAAAACGCATGCAAATAAGAAGCTTTTATGACGATGAAGAACTGCAATGAGAGCGAAAAACATGATCATCAAAAACCAAACAGATGTTTTGTTTTGGCAGAGTATCTGAGGAACAAGCTGTAAAGTCACAGCCCTATTCTGGAAAGTGGGTGGGGAGCAGCAGCTCATTTGCATTTAAAGATACATGCACAAAAACAGCATGTTTTTTGCTTCCACTCAAAATGGGCATTTTCAAAATGGCATAATGAATGATCTGTGGGGTATTTTGAGCTAAAACGTCACAGACACATTCTGTGGACACCTGAGACTTAATAGGCCCCCTTTAAAATATATTTATTCTACACAGACATAGACCAACATGCACCAAAAAAAAAGGAAAAAGAAAAAAAATTCCACAGACCAAAATTTGGCTAAAGACAATTTTTATAAGGTTTGCAGCATGATGGACAGATGCAAATGCATATGTACTGCATTCTACATAATATATAAACACCAATTACATTAATTCTCTCTCTGCAGATCTAACTATAGAGAGATTTTGCATGACGGGTGGAGAGAGTCCGATTGGTTACCTAAAGGCCTACATGACCAACCTCTATCTGTCCAAAGATTCAATGAAAGTACAAGAAGCTATCGAAGAAGGTATTTAAAAAATGCATGCATTGTTATCTAACTGGGATTTTCATGTTGATGCAGAAGAAAAACAATCTTTAAATTGGATGAACAGGAAGCTAAATTTGCTTTAAATGACCATTTTCACAGGAATAGCAGCTGCCACGATGTTCGCCTGTGACAGTGAGAATGAGCTCAGTAACACGCAACTACGTGTAGCGTTCGACGGAGATGCTGTTTTGTTTTCCGATGAGTCTGAGATTATCGTAAAGGAACACGGATTGGACACTTTTTTTAGGCATGAGAAAGAGTTTGAGAACAAGCCTCTGGCTCAGGTAAACTAAGACTGGGTAACAAAAAATAACTACTAATGTTCATTATTAATAGTGATACTAATATTTTCTCCATCATGTCATGTTTTGAGCATGCAATGTCCTTTTCATGCTTGATTTGTTGTTGCATCATCCTCTCCTAGGGCCCCCTGAAATGTTTCCTGGAAGCACTGGGTAAACTCCAGCGCAAGTTCTATGCAAAAAACCAACGAATCAACTGCCCTATTCGCACCTACCTGGTCACAGCTCGAAGTGCTGCCAGCGCTGGGGCCCGCGTTCTGAAGACCCTACGGAGCTGGGGGTTGGAGGTAGACGAGGCCCTCTTTTTGGCTGGGGCTCCTAAGGGGCCTCTCCTTCAGAAGATCAGGCCTCACATCTTCTTTGATGATCAGATGTTTCACATTGAGGGTGCCCAGGAGCTTGGTACAATCGCTGCTCATGTGCCCTATGGGATTGGACAGAAGTATCATAAGGGAAAACGCATAGATACAAGTGATGCCGTAAACAATGAAAAGATTTGATGATTATCAAATCTAAATGCCAGAGTCCCACGTCGTATAACACCTATTCAGTGTCTTATGTGTGATCTATACAATAGCTAAAATATAAATGTTTACTTATATTAATGAGCTGGGAAGTGAACCATATGAATGGAAGGCTCTGCACGTTAGAGGTAATTTTATTTATTTGTTTGCTTGAGAGAGTTTTGAACCTTGATCTGTACAGATAGTTTAAGTTAAAAGGATTGCTGGAGATACTTTAAATACAAAGATGCTACGGTGCTCAAAACGACCTAGTATATTACGTACTGTATATTAGTATGTAGCATATTATGTACTGTACTAATCCGTCAGCACTGTGAGGTTAAACTACTGTAAATACTGCAGCCCTTTCTTTTTCTTTAGGAGAATAATGTGCAATTAGATGCATTTACCAGCCTTTATGCCTTGATGATTATACGACTTTTTAAGATGTTTAATCAATAGTTTAATTTAGAATCAGAATCAGAAAGAGCTTTATTGCCAAGTGTGCTTACACACAAGGAATTTGTCTTGGTGACAGAAGCTTCCAGTGCACAGACAGGATGACAAGTGACAAGAATTAAAATGAGTAAAAAATAAACATGTAAAAACAATACAAAATAGATTATAGTATGTTGTATGTACACAAATTATATTCAAAGAAATGTGGATAGATGTATGATATATTAAATCAATAACATACGTGCAATAAATATAAGTGTAGATAGTTGGGTATTGTACGTTTTATTGCACAGTGGGGAGAACAATTAAATATTAAAATTTAGAATATTTAATTCTATCTCAGGGAGCATACATTGCAACTGTCTATTTTATTTATAGTGCAAGATGTTAATCAATGTAAATTTAGCATATTTTAATCTACATTTAGATGTTTTGTTGCAACTTATTCACTGCCGTACTTAAGATATTCGGACTCAGTCCTAAGGCAGTTTCCTTCACTGACGTGTGTTTCCCACCACTAGTGTTCCTGATAGACCTTGCCACAATATTAAAAGTACTGAGCAAATGCTGAAATAAGGATGAGAGTGAATAATCTGATATATTGTATTTAGAATGTATTACCTCTATGTGTTTATCATGAAGTGTAAAATGTTTAATTTTGTTTTGTCCACAAAACAAAAATGTGTTGTTCACTGTTAAAGACTGGATATATTCTTTATGATCATAAATTAAATGAGTGATCTTAATTGATTGTGCTTTGTGTTGTGTGTCTAATTAAAGCGGTTTAGTTTGTAGTCCTAAAATAAATTTGACTAGAAACATGGGTGTCTAGGCCTAGACCAGGGGTGTCCAACTCAATTCCTTGAGGGACGGAGCCCTGCAGAGTTTTGTTCTAACCCTGCTCCAACACACATACCATGTAGTTTTCAAATAAGCCTGAAGGATTGATTAGTTGGATCAGGTGTGTTTAACCTCTGCAGGGCTCCGACCCTCCAGGAATTGAGTTTGACACTCTTGGTAGATAAATAAGGAATGAAAAAGTAATCTTTTCATCATTAATTTACTTTACATTAAACAGTATGCCCCGTTCATCTATTACAGCGGATCATGTGGTTTGTGTCTATGGTTTTATTGCTTGTAAATACATTTTTAAAAAGCATGCATTGCGTTTTAACCCGCTTTGACTTCTGGGTAATGTAGTTGAACAATATTCCCGTTACTTCCCACATGCGTGAATGTTTACGCCTACAAACCTGCTCATGAACTGGACATTGTTGATGGCCACAGAAGGATCAGCAGTGAAGCTTTTCCTCATTATAAACATATGGATGAAGGCGTCGATATGCTGCGGGGCAAAACTATTATCGTGACCGGGGCAAACAGTGGTATCGGAAAAGCCACGGTCGCGGAGCTGCTGCGGCGTCAGGGCCGAGTGATCATGGCATGTAGGGACCGAGAACGGGCGGAGAAAGCAGCCCTGGAGATCCAGCAGGAGGCCGGCCCAGAGCAAGGGGAACTAGTGATCAAACTCTTGGATCTGGCGTCGCTTAAATCTGTCCGTATTTTTTGCGAAGAGATAATCAAGGTACTGCACAGAGCGTTTGTTTCTCTTTTCAGATATCTATTACACTGAAGTAAATATAAATATAGGGAACGCATAACACGGTTAAAATTGTTTTCGACTAGCAACAAGTGCACCGATTGTGCGCGAACGTCACGCGCTTTATGTGCATGATATCATCATGCTCGAGAAGTTTGGGAAGAGCACGTGACTGCGCGCGCATGAAACCAAGCTTAAAAAAAGTCCTATTGCTAAATTGTCTAAATAATAATATAGGCAGAAACCTGGCATAGTTCATAATTTCTTAGGGTAGATATATTTTATATCAGTATTGTGTGTATATACAGTGTATTGTTTTTATTTTACATATCTAAAACTTCAACATTTTCACTGTTGTTGAACAACAGTGCTCAGAAAAAAAAAGATATAGTTCACTGAACACAATTTAAGCTTTTGTGACAGCATGTCCCAGCAGAGTTTGAGAACAGTAAACAGTAAAACAAATATAAAACAAAAAAATTAAACCCCATATTATTAAAAACGTGCTGTATAAAATTACCAAAGCATTCTGAGGCCGACAGATATCTTAAAAAGTAATAAAACAAAATATAGACTGAATTTAGGTAAATTGGACCAATTTTTGCCATTGGGATGACTGGAAAAATGTCCCAATTATCCTGAATTAACTAATTTAAGAATATATATTCTTATAATGACCCATATAAGAGTTGATCAGTTGAAAGATTTTATTGTGTATTGCTGTTACTACTGTTTTATCTGTGGCCCATTTTTTTAAATCTCGTGTATAAAGAAAAGATTTGACAATCAAAAGAAGAGAAAGGTATCTAAATTAGTGTAAATTTTCAGTGATTTCTAGGGTTGTGATTCTTTTATCTTCTCATTCTTGTATTCTAAAATACTGCATACCTTTACAGTTTGCCATATCTGTTGTATCTCAAACAGGAAGAGTCGAGGATTGACATCTTGGTCAACAATGCTGGAATCTACCAGTGTCCTTACACCAAATCAGAAGATGGGTTCGAGATGCAGTTCGCTGTCAATCATCTGGGTCACTTCCTGCTCACTAACCTCCTGCTGGACCTCCTCAAACGCTCTGCTCCTAGCCGGATCATTGTGGTGTCCTCCAAGCTCTACAAGTACGGTGAAATAAATTTTGATGACCTGAACAGTGAGCAGAGTTACGATAAAGCTTTTGCTTATGCACGGAGTAAACTAGCCAATCTTCTATTCACTCTGGAGCTCTCTCACCAACTCAAGAAGACTGGAGTGACCGTAAATGCTCTCACCCCAGGGATTGTGCGGACTAACTTGGGCAGACATGTCCACATCCCACTGCTGGTGAAGCCACTATTTATCCTAGCTTCACGGGCCTTCTTCAAGTCCCCTGAGGAAGGTGCACAGACTTCTATCTATCTTGCCTGCTCTCCGGATGTGGAGGGGATTCAGGGGAAGTGCTTTGCTAACTGTCATGAGGAGCAGCTGTTAGCTAAGGCCACAGAAGAGGAGGTGGCCAAGAAACTGTGGGACATCAGTGAGGTGATGGTGGGCATCACAACTTGAAATCTTACAGATATAAAATTTAAGTCAAATGTCCATGATTATTTCAAAATCACCAACTCTGAGAAATAAAACATACAGATCTTTACCATCAAGTATTTTGAAAAGACCTTGTTTTGGAAGGAAAGCATGCAAAATGTATGCATACATCCACAGGAGGGAGCTGTTTTTGCCATTCCTATTCACTTGTGCTTTGAAATACTAACTGTAAAGTTGCAACCAGCAGATTGTTAGTTCTGCTGCAACACTAACTGTGCGTGTGTGTGTGTGTGTGTGTGTGTGTGTGTGTGTGTGTGTGTGTGTGTGTGTGTGTGTTAAATAATCCAGAGTCATCTTCAGTTATCCTGTTCCCATGCTTCCCTGAATTAGTATTAATCCTGGGTAGTCAGGTTCATAGATTTCAAAACAACATGTTCACATGTTGTTAAGACTAGTTGCAACCTAAATGGTTTATTAACTTGAGAATCACCACAAATAATATAGTTTGAAAAGACTAAAACCTTTCTTTGACTGGAAATGTGTACACATATTACTGAGAATTTCTGATTGCAAAAGTGTGCCTAAATGGTGCTTTATTGTTACTTTTCTGCTGTTAGGAGTGAAGTAGTTAACACTGCATTTGATTTGCACTTCTCTTACTGAAGATCAGTGAGCATACATTCACAGCTACAGTACTTAATAAAGATCCATTAAACAAAACAAAAAGCATTGTAGTATCTCTATTCTGATTATATATTATATTGTATACTTTGCATTTGAAATGTTGAGATGTTGATCTGTGATATTGTGATAGTATTCACACTTTTTAAAATGTAACCGCAAAAGAAAAATATTTTAAGCTCAGGCCTATTTTTTAAATAAAAATCTAAGTTTAATTAGTTGTGTGTTTTACTTGTTGGAAACAAAGAAATGTATATTTAAATTCCCACAGGGGAACATTTATTTTATTTTCATAGGAAGTCTCTAAAATACTTATGTATTTTGACAGTATTTCTGATTTATTTAACTATATGTGTGGTACTGCTAATTATAAACTGTTAAACATTCTAAATTTTGGGTGTTTATCATTGTAATCTTGCAGCACCTTTTCTTTGGTTTTTATGTTTTTCTTTGAAAAAGGAAATGCTTTGGGGAGCCTTCTTGGTCTAATAAATAAATATCACGCTGTACAAATGACATTGTTCAGATTTTAACTACAGCTCAACCAGATTCATGTAATTGAAAAATAGTCTGATGGTTGTTTTTGCGAGGCTCGTTAGCAGAATGTTTTTGGAATTAGGGCAATAGCCTGCGTTGCTTTCATATTTCACTTACTGTCTAATTAACCGTTCTAGGAGTTGTTACAGTACAATTCAACTAATTGCTTTCACAAAGAAAGTACACACTCCTCTCACACCGTCTCTCTCCCACTTCATCATGATTGCCTTGAATGTTTTCTCTTAGCATTAGCTGTCTTTGTGAGAATGGTAGCAGCTCTGATGGGCTTGTAATGCTTTTCCCACCTGTGTTTGCCATTAGGACTTTCATTTAGAGTATGTTCCGATCAGCCAGAAAGCCCCAAAGATATCCCAACATTCATCTGATAGCTCCCTGTGAAACGGGAGGTCTCAGAGTGCTTGGCTGTAGAAGCTGGAGACTGTTTGTATTTGAAATGAAGTAAATTGGGGAAATTATTAAAGTTAATGGCTTTAATGATGCATTTACAAACGGTACCACATCACCAACAGAATGCCAAGCTGCTAAACAAAGTGATGCTTTGATTACAATCACTTTTTTTCGTCCTGTTTTTCCTACTCTAAAAGACAAAATATCACTAAACAAACACCCAAAGGTATATAGAAATTCATGGCAAAGCCCTTGTATCTTATCTCGTGGTTTGGCTTTAGGTAAAGCATTTTTTCAGTTGTGCTGCTTTGCTCACCTCAGCTCTGCTCCGAGGCTACAAACCTGCAGTCAGCATCCGTTCCCACCGTTTGCGCTAGACATCCAGTCCAACTTAAACACAAAACTCCTCTCTCGTTTATTATCCTGCATATTTGTTTTCTGTGATAGAGGGAAGGAAGGGAGATATGAATACACGTTATTTTTCACAGTAAAGAGTTTCCAGCCTCGTAAGTTGTTGAGCTTCTGAAAGCACTGCCAGGTTGATGGCATTAGATACAGGGGTGCCCAAACTCGGTCCTGGAGGGCCGGTGTCAAGTCAAGTCACCTTTATTTATATAGCGCTTTTAACAATACAGATTGTGTCAAAGCAACTGAACAGCATTAATTAGGAAAATAGTGTGTCAATAATGCAAAATGACAATAGTAAACACTAATTTTTCAGTTAAAGACAGTTCATCATTCAATTCAGTGATGTCATCATCCAGCTCAGTTCAGTTTAAATAGTATATTTGCAATCATTTGCAATCAAATAAATGATAGCACTAGAAATGAAGTGTCCCCAACTAAGCAAGCCAGAGGCGACAGCGGCAAGGAACCAAAACTCCCATCAGTGACAGAATGGAGAAAAAACCAAGCTCAGTCGGGGGGCCAGTTCTCCTCTGACCAGGCGAAACCAGCAGTTCAATTCCAGGCTGCAGCAAAGTCACATTGTGCAGAGGACTCATCTGGTTCCTGTGGTCTTGTCCTGGTGGCCGTCTGAGACAAGGTCTTTACAGGGGATCTGTATCTGGGGCTCATCTAGTTGTCCTGGTCTCCGCTGTCTTTCAGGGCTGTGGAGGTCCTTTCTAGGTGCTGATCCACCATCTGGTCTGAATACGTACTGGATCCGGGTGACAGCAGTGACCATCTGATCTGGATACAGACTGGACCTGGTGGCTACGGTGACCTCGAAATAAGAGAGAAACAGACTAATATTAGCATAGATGCCATTCTTCTAGTGATGTAGCAAGTACATCGGGTGTTATGAGAAGTGTCCTGCAGAGTTTAGCTCCAACCCCAATTAAACGCACCTGAACCAGTTAATCAAGCACTTATAGGCATACTAGAAACTTACCAGCAGGTGTGTTGAGGCAAGTTGGAGCTGAACTCTGCAGGACACCGGCCCTCCAGCACCGAGTTTGGGCATCCCTGCATTAGAATGTCTAAAATGTTCAAAACAACTGTATGTGATTTGATTAGACAAGAGAGGGAAGGGTTTCCTTCTTATTTAAAATTATGAATTAATTATACGACCTTACGATTTAATTCAACTGATTTAATTCGTACTATTTACAGATAATATTAAAATATGCACACTTTTTACTCACTCTTAATCGTATGCCAAATATGTCGAAAATCAATGTCATCACACTCATTTATGAATTACTTGGCCACACAGGGCCGGTTCCAGGCATGGACAGGGGTGGGCTGAGCCCACCCAAATGACTGTCTTGCCCACCCAATCAGAATTAGATAAGGATTACGTTAATTTTTTGTGCATAGATAAAAACTAATCTGAAGCGAACTGTATTTTGAGAAGTATAGCTTGAGACTGCCCAAACAATCATAAAATAACTCCAGAAAATTGCAGCATTTTTCTTTTATTAGCTGAATGCAAGGGGCGCTCGCGCTGAATTCACGCGGAGGCTTCAGTCTGCTGCAGAAAAACAGAGGCTGACAACAAGCGAAAACGGGCAGAAATATTTGCGCGCTATCACGGGGAGTTTGTGAGTTACGGGGAGTTTAGGATACATGAATATATATCACAGCCTACCACTGAAATTACCTGAGCAGTTTTAATGTTTATATAATAATGTGCTCATATAATAATGTGCATGGACGGGGCAAGAGCATAATATAAGCATCTAAAATGCATGTAGGCTATACAGTTCAGTTGAAAGCTTACCCCTTTTTACTTGCTGTTAATGTTGAATGTAAGAATTACTTACTATAGCAACAGTCGGCTCGACTGTCTATCACGGGGAGTTTGCGAGTTACGAGGAGTTTAATACACGAATATGTATCATAGCCTACCACTGAAATTACCTGAGCAGGTTTAATGTTCTAAAAGAAAAGAAAAGAAACATTCAATAACGTGCGTTCATTGCATGGACGGGGCACGAGCATAATATAAGCGTCTAAAATGCATGTAGGCTATACAGTTCAGTTGAAAGCTTACCCCTTTTTACTTGCTGTTAATGTTGAATGTAAGAATTACTTACTATAGCAACAGTCGGCTCGACTGTATTATCAAGCATTCGTCTTTTTTTTTCTTTTGTCAAATTCCGCCGTTTTGAATTGAAAGTCGGGCTGTCATTTAGGCTAGGCCTACATGATTCATGTAATTCATAATTATTCTGACAACAGCATTTTCTGTCTTGCGTTTTCAACGTATTAGGAATACAACTAAAATTGAATGGGTGCATATTTTAAAATAAAAATATTATTTGCAGTTCAGATTGATTACTTTACAAAAAATCGTATTATTTATTTAGTTCCTTTACCATTACCATAGTGATCTGGTCTTAATATTTTCCTAAAAACAATAGTCCCCCTAATGTTCTAGATATGATTATGGCCTTGTTTGGTATAAATAAAAAAGTTAGTTGAAAAAATCACCAGTGTAGAAACAATGATACAAAGAAAGAGAACAAAGAGGTATTTATTATTATTATTATTCAATAAAGAAAAAAAAGTTTATGTTGTTGTGAAAGTGCATGATATTCTAGGCTGCCCGTGAAAGCTTTTTTTTTCCAGTGTACATATAACAGCCTATAGTTAATATAGTTAATATAGCAATATCAACAGTATAAATATCTAGACTTTTTCCCCTTGCAATAAGGAAAAATGCCCACCCACATATCTGCCAGCCCACCCTTCTATAGCTGTCAAGAACCAGCCCTGTAGCCATATATAAATGTCTGATATTTTCCATTCGAAATTTCACAAGAAGTCAAGTATTTTGTATCACACTGTATTACTTTCGGTCGTTTTGACATTTTTATTGTAAACTTTTGTAAAATATGATCATAAGTTTAGCTATACTTACATCTACCTATAGCTAGCACCCATAGATATACGAAGATGCCTCATTAGCGACTGTTTCTATGTGCCGCTATACGTAAGCCATCTGCCACATTCGAAGGGTCTACTTGACGTCATTCACCATAACAGCCGATGGTCTGCGAACCCTCGAGTAGCCTATACGGTGGCCGAGAGAGCTCAACTTGTTGTTGTGTAGACCTAACTAACACCATACAACAAGATGAGCGAGTTAGCTAACACGACATTAAAATTTGCCAGTTTCAAAACTTGTAATATTGAGTTAATACATTTAAAAACACAAACCAACACATTCTCACCTGTAAAAGGTTAACCCGTTTCTTCGGGAATTTAAATCCCTGCGGTTTTTACAACCATCGGCTGTGCAGGATTGTGACATCTTCGAATATTCATTGATTATTATGGTGAATGACGTCAAGTTGACTGTTGTAGATGGCGGTCTAACGTGCTTGGCGCAGTCGAATGGGGATTCTACCTATACATTTCTATGGCTAGCACCATCCAGAAGCCGAACATCCAGTGTGACGCTTCCGTTTTAATCAAACGCCTTGTTTGATTTGATTGGCCAATCACTTTAACATTGACAAGAGCTGGGGCAAGTTCAAGCTCAAACCGATGTGCACCGTTTTTATCGGGGCTGAACGCAGCCCTGTTAAAAAAAAGTTCAAAACTTTTTATCAACGTGTAATTAAATATACATATTAACAAGTTTTGAATTAATTAATATTGTTAAATTATTTAATTAATTACAAAAATATAACTTGCTGGGATCCACATATGAGGTCCAGCTTTAAGGGAAACTTTGTTTGGATGGCATGTTGGAAACATTTTAAAACAACATTTTATTTTATTT